GTCACTAACCAGTAGGTGGCAGTAGTGTTCTTTGACAAACATGGATGCCTCCAGTAAAGCACATTCACATGAAAATTATTCTGAATTAAAAACACTTATTTTATAATTATCATTTATTGAAAAGTATGTAATAATTAAAGTACTTTCAGAAGTTTGAAGTCTGAATATGTCCAGACTTTTCCTTTAAATCCAAAGAAAAATTTAGTGAAGTAAACTGATGACTAGTAGAGTCAGAGTTGAATGTTTCCAGAAAAACAAGCAATTAAAATAATTAAAACGCATGCCGCTGCATGAGCCGTTTTCTTACTCTTAATCCCAGAGACGGATTTATAACCTGTACTTCCTGTATTAATCTTGTGTTGTTGTTTTAAATTCTTAGGTGGAGAGCTTTACACCGGCACAGTGGCAGACTACAGGGGAAACCGACCAGTCATTTCCAGACACCTCAGCGAGGGCAGCCGCGTCGACCTCAAGCTGGATGACACATTAGGATGGCTGGAGGGTGAGCGCACCGTCACTCATCCTTAAAGTTGACTTATTGTGTAAAATTCCTTTTTTTTATGTGTGTGTTTGGTACATTATAACACAGGATACATTATAACACAAGAACAAACAATTAATGCTTAGCTTGATGCTAATTTTCATTGAAAGTCCCATCGGGATGCTAATGGCTATTTCTCAGTGTGTGTACTCGTGCATTCTCATGTGCTCGTGAAACGCCATCAGCCTCAGCCCTAGTGCTGTTCCAATTTACAAGAACAAGAAGACAGAGAACAGACAAAGTCCCCAGATGTTGTTCTCACCCCTCCCTCTTTACCCAGCATGCATCAGAGCAGGCTTGTCTGTTCTTGAATGACAGCTGTCCCAGCATGCACTGCGGCAGCAGCAGCTTCCAATGGAGCGCTCACAGAGCTCAAAGTGTTAAGTTAAAACTTCTCTTTTCTGTTGCAGTTGTTCAATAATAGTACGTTTCAAGATCATTTGAGGCGAGAATATTATACTTTTGGGACAATATATGGAACATTTACTGATTCAGTGTGTACTTAAAAAGAAAAAAAGTTCCCGATGTTGAGAGGACTGTGGCAACCCGTCTGCAGCGGCCAGGGCTATCGTTAGCCCATCTGCAGCGGCCGGGGCTAACGTTAACCCGTCTGCAGCGGCCGGGGCTAAGGTTAGCCCATCTGCAGCGGCCAGGGCTAACGTTAGCCCGTCTGCAGCGGCCGGGGCTAAGGTTAGCCCGTCTGCAGCAGCCAGGGCTAA